TTATTATTATTATTATTATTATTATTATTTTGGGCTGATAATTCCATTTGTCTCATTTCTAGTTGAAATTCCATCTGTCTCTTTTCTTGTTCCATGGCCAACTCTCTTTCCTTGGCCTCAGCCTCAACCTTTATTTCTAGCTGTCTTTCCTCAGCCCTCAGCTGTAAAGCTTTTTCCTCAGCCTCAGTCCTGATCTGTAATTCTTTTAATTGAAACTCTCTCTCCAGTTTCCTCTTCACAAAATCCTGGGAGGTTAACTCTGTTTCTCCCCTTGAAACATCATTCTGAGGCTCATCCTGTTCTGAGTCATCATGAGGTAAATATTGCGGATCTGATACCTCTATTGCCATCCTTCTCCCTCACTTGGAAGGCATGGTTATTTATAGTTATTTGGATAAGTTGGTGTATTCTGCTGAGATAAATAGTCAAGCCTTGGTTTAAAACTTGTTTCCTTTACTAACTTAGAGAGAGTTATTGTTTCTTTATATCTTTCCGCTGGAAGCCACAGATTTGCTACTATGTTTCTTTTTCTGGCACCCAGCCAGTCTGAGACACGGTTTATATCTGTCGCCAGACACCGAAAGTAATCAGAAATATTAACTTGAAATAGTCACAGTCTTTATTGTTTTCAGTCCCCCAGGCGTATGTTTATGACCATGGCTTCCACTTGTTCCCTCAGTGTTCCCTTTTTAGAGCTTGGGATCTCAAGGTAGCCTACTGGTCTTTTCCACTTAAAGCGTGAGGTAATCTTAAACTATTCAATTTTCCTCAGAGGCTTTTCTTATTTTACTCTTTCTCACGATCTGTGATCTGGAGTCCCTAAGCTATTCACTAAAACAGAGGGTTTCCCACTCCTTCACAACCATCTCTGATTAACAGATCTCTTAAGCTCCCAAAAATTCACTTTTCCTTTGGCTTACTTGACTATTAATGGCATCCCGCCACTGGTCACCACTATATCGCATCCATCCAGTGTCCTTTGTTTATTCCTTAAACATAGGTTCACCCTCTGGATGCATTTTCTCTTTACACGCTGCCACCAATTAATATTCACACAATACTAAATATGTATTTCAGACACGTGTGCAGCCAACTATAACAGGTTTATTGAACTTTTAAGTTTGAAAATCACAGGAGTAAATTACAGTGGTGCCTCACTTGACAATGATAATCCGTTCCAGCGAAATTGCTGTAGAACGAAATTGTCGTCAAGTGAAATAAAAAACCCATTGAAATGCATTGAAAACCATTCAATGTGTTCCAATGGGTGAAATACCTCATCGTAAAGTGAAGATCCTCCATAGGGCAGCCATTTTCCAATGCCTGTAGAGCGAAGAATCCATCCTGAACCCAGTGGGCAGCCATTTTGGACCCCCGATGATCAGCTGTTTTTGTTGGTCGTTAAGCAAAATATCGGTTCCCAAAGCAGGGAACCGATCATCGTAAAGCGAAAAATCCCCTTGGAATCATTGTTTTGCGATCGCTATAGCGATCGCAAAAAACTCATCGTACAGCGGATTCATTGTCAAGCGGGGTAACTGTCTAGTGAGGCAACACTATATAGATGTTCTTCTATGGTTATGTAAATCACAAGGGGAAATCACAGATATTCAGGTTCATTCATTAAATAGGATTTGTTTATGCATTGATTTGAATGTATTTTTATTCACAACAATATACTTTTACTAATTATCTATTATCTATTCCGTATAAATCTTTCCCTATTCTCTCTATCACTCCAACTGTCCAGTCTATGTATTAACCTTCTCAATTCAATCTCCTAACTCACCCTCTTCAAATCCCAATCTCTCTCTTACTCCTCTCTAACTCCATAACTGTCATTCTAACTCCTCAACTGTCCCTTTGACTCCACCACTCCTGTCCTATCATAGGGGTAAAGCCTACAGTAGTTTACTCCATGAACAACACAGGAACTACTTAGAAGTATTTGAAACAAAAAAAATTTCTTACATTACTCCGTTAAACATTTTAAATCATATTTATACTTACTCATCACCTTTAAACTCCATCAATCAACATTTGCAATACTTTCAATTTCTTTCCTACAATACTTTTATCATGGCTTACCATTAATACATCTAAAAGTTACATTTGTAATTACTTATTCTATTTATACACAATTGGAACAGTTTATTACATTATGAATTACTTATATCTTCTTTTCCATCGCTCAGTCTTCTGGTCTTCGTGAAAGTGCATCGGCCACTACATTTTGAGTTCCTTTCACACTCTGTATCTTAAAATCAAAATCTTGTAGCAATAAGACCCACCTCATTAATTTGTTATTGTTCGCTCTTATAGTTCTCGGCCACAGCAGTGGGGAATGATCCGTGCAAAGGATAAAATGTCTTCCCCATATGTATGATCTGAGTTTCTGTAGTGCACATACTGTTGCAAGACACTTACACTGTATTGTGGACAGATGTTTCTCTCCTGCCTGCAGTTTCTTGCTCAGGTATGCCACTGGGTGATGGTCTCCATTGTCATCTGCTTGACTCAGCATGGCTCATAACCCGATGTTTGAAATGACCCCCAGGATATTAGCTATTCCACCCAATTTCTGTCATCCACAAATCTGATAAACATTCCTTTCACCCTTTCATCCCAGTCATTAATAAAATGACTTGTGCCTAGGTCTATGATCTTATCTGTGCATTTCCAAACTCTATGGCTTTCCCCCACCCTTTTTTATATAGATATAGATATAGATATAGATATAGATATAGAGATAGATATAGAGATAGAGATAGAGATAGAGATAGATAGATAGATAGATAGATAGATAGAGAGAGAGAGAGAGAGAGAGAGAGAGAGAG